AAAAAAGAATTTTTAAAATTTATTGTTTACTTAATTTTATTCATTATTATCTTTTTTTTTTTTTTTTTTAATTTTACCAGAGAGATGGGGTGGCGGGGAGATAGTGAGAAAGCAAGCCACGAGGTTTAGGACCTCCAGGTCAGCCATGTGGGAGGCCAGCACCTTAACCACTGTGCCACCTGCTGGCCCCTGCAGATGAATAGGAATGTCGTTAACATTGTTTTCTTTCTGCCCTTGTGCTGCACTTTGGGAATCTCTGCTCCAAATACCGATAGTGGGTGATTTTAGGGGATGCAAGGCCATGGCAACAGCAAGGGAGGGAGCCCAGGGGGGCGGAGGGACGTGTCAGCATCACCCTGGTGTCTGCTGTTCTCTCTGTAGACGTACCGAGAGCCCGTGTCAGACTACCAGGTCCTGCGGGAGAAGGCTGCATCCCAGCGGCGCGACGTGGAGCGAGCACTCACCCGTTTCATGGCCAAGACCGGCGAGACCCAGAGCCTTTTCAAAGATGACGTCAGCACATTTCCACGTGAGTGCCTGCCCTCCTGGAGACTGCCGTGGCATTGAGCATCACACTGGCGTCCCATCCTCTCAGTGTGGTGGGAGGAGACCAGGCAGCTTGTGTCCTCGTCTTGGCTGCAGCGTCATTCCTCGGACTTCTGGCTGCCTTTCCCGGGTGGTTAAGAGTCTGTCCCTGGGGATCAGCAGTTGACATAATGGCTATGTCGCTGGACTCCCATGTAGTCGGCAGCGATTCAAGTCCTGGACTCGGTGGCTTAAACTCATGCCGGGCACGTGTGCATGTGTGTGTGCCCAAGATCCTGAGAGGAGACTGGAGGAGAGGGGATTGTGGCGTGGCCATCCCCCCGGGGGTGATTTCTCACTTTCTGTCCCTTTCTGGTGAGCACACACGCCCTATAGCAAAAACCTCTCCCTAAAAAAGAGTCTGTCCCTGACTAATGACTCCAAAACAGTAATGGCCTCTGATGGGATCGGCTGCTCGAGGACGCGGAGCTTAGGTTATCCTGAGGATGGCGGAGCCCTGGGCATCAGAGACTTTCGGAGAAGTGACAGTACAGATGGTAGAAGGGACACTGGCTTCAGGACCAGTTGTCCATCACGATGTCCTTCCCCAGGTCCCAGCTCATTTAACCCTCCTCTGAGCACTCCTGTTTGGCCGCATTGACCAAGTTCCTTCGTCCCCACAGGCCTCAGGTTCTGTGGAGGGGAATGAGGAAAGTGGGTTGGGGCGATTCATGTGTTGAGCAGACTCCTGTAAATGCCTGGGGTGTGCGTGGCTCTGGAATCATCGCAGCTAACATTTATTAAGTAGCAGACGCGGTGCTGATCACGTCGCGCTCGTCTGTCATTAAATCCTCCCATGAGCCAGCGAGTTGGGAACTGTTCTGTCACCACCTGTGTAGAAGCCGAGGCTTACCAAAAAGAGAAATGAAGTGACTTGCTCAAGGTCATGTGGCCAGTAGGCACCACTCAAATCTAGTGCTTCGTGACTGTAGGACCCTGCCCGTTTTTTTTGGAATCATTTTAAAGCCTCTCGACAGTCACATTCTAGCAGAGAAGTATATTACATGGAGCCTTCTTTTTAATGATTTTTTAGAGTCAATTTCTTTCTATTTTTTTCTCTCACCCTCGTGGCTCTTCGGAAGAACTGGGACTCTCATTTTCCAGAAGAGTCTTATTGCTCTGGATATACTTACATGTAGCAAGTTCTCAAGTTTAGCCTCTGGACTTGAGTCCGTCAGGCTGAAAGAGGCATCCTCCCTGCTTTAGGAATGTGGCTTTGAGGGTTAACTGACCGGAGCAATGTGTTGCTGGGACCCCATCTGTAGCTCCAGTTCTGTCCGGTTTCAGTTGTACGGTCCTTGCACAAAGTGGGCTCTGAGGTCGTATTGCCCGAGTTCAGATTCACTCTGCCATTTTCTGTGTGCTTGAGAAAGTCACTGACCTCTCTGGGCCTCAGGTTCCTCGTCTGTGAAGTGGAAGTGGTCATTACACGTACGTGCTGAGGCAGGAGCAGGGGTAAAGGTAGCACGTGTAAAGCCCGGGGCCGTGCCTGCTGTGTTGCGTGAGTGCGCAGAGTGGGTCACCCGTGCTGTGTTTGGTGCTGCTCACTGGTTCATTGCCAGGCTCTGGGCAAGGCCTCCTTGACGGGAATCTGCCTCTCTCCCAATTCCCCAGTGATTGCTGCCAGACCGTTCACCATCCCCTACCTGACGGCTCTTCTTCCATCCGAGCTGGAGATGCAACAAATGGAAGAGACGGATTCCTCGGAGCAGGACGAGCAGACGGACACGGAGAACCTTGCTCTGCATATCAGCACGGTGGGTCTTGCCTTCTGCCTGCCTCAGTAGCCCCAAGCCAGCTGTCCTCCCCTCAGCTGGACACTGGGAACTGGACATGGCCCATCCCAGGTCTCTGGCATTGTCTTAGGGATTTGCAGAAGGGTTTGTGATGAGCCAGGTGTGACCTGGTCTCCAGCTTGAGGGACACTTTCATCCCAGGGATTAACACTTTCATTCCATAGAATAAGTGAGTACTTGCTAGGGTCAGGCCCAGGCCCAGGTGCTGAGATAGGTGAAATCAAAATTTCTATTTCTTTTTTTTTTTTAATTTTATTTAATTTATTTTCATTTGACCAGAGAGGGACAGAGTGAGAGAAAGAGAGAGAAAGCAAGCCGCCAGATCTGGGACTCGAACCATGGTCGGCCGTGTGGGAGTCCAACGCCCTTAACCACCACACCACCTGTCAGCCCCAACATTTCTGCTATTTCTAAGGAAAAATAAGAAATTAGACGATGAGAAGTGGGGATGGGGTGGGAGGGATGTGGTACGAGATAGGGTATTCGAGAAGCTGATATGTGAGCATAGACGCGGAGAGCAAGGCTTGCCCATATCTGGGGATAGAGCAGCAGGAACAGCCCACATCTGTTCCAGGCAGCAGGAACGGCAGATGCGAAGGCTCTGAGCTGGACGCTTACCTGTTGTGTTGAGTAACTTCAGGGACGGCGGAGGAGCCAGACTGGAATGTAGAGAAAGGGAGGATAGTGGGTGAGGTCTGAGAGGGGGTCGTGTTGAGGCTGTATAAATACTTTGACTTTTACTCGGTAAGGTGGGAACTGTTAGAGAGGTTGGGTGGAGAAGGGTCAGGGTCTGGCATCGCCTTGCTGACAGGATCAGGTTGCTGTGTTGAGCGTAGACTGGAGGAGGGCAGGCGCAGGGGGTCAGCAGGAGGCTGAGACACCGGGAGGAATAAAGAAAATGGAAAATGGGACCTGCCCACTTAAGGTATTTGGTCAGAGTCTAGTTGAGTTGTTTGTTTGTTTGTTTTGGTTGTAAGTTTCATTTTCAGCATCCCTAAATTCCCAAGACACAGGATAGCATTGTAACACCTACTTCCGTCACCTTTCACTGTCCAAAATCACTAACGGAGTGGTTGAAAGGGAGCCAGAAAGTCCAAGTAACCAACCCACAATGTGTAATTTGTATAGTTACCTCATTTTTCTACATAATTTATTATCCTGCCAATCTGCCTAACCCCAGCATCAGAAAATAGGCTTTAAATCCAGACGTAAAACAGATTTGCTACGTCAAAAAGAACCTCTGTTATTTCCACCACAGCCTCTTATGCGTTCTTTTTTATTTATTTATTTATTTATTTTGGGAGAGATTTTTGCTATAGGGCGCGTGCACTCACCAGACAGACAGAGACAGACAGACAGAGAGACAGAAAGCGAGAAATCACCCCCCCCAGGGGGGATGGTCATGCCACAAATCCCTTCTCCTCCATTCTCCTCTCGGGATCTTGGGCACGCATGCACACACGCCCGGCGTGAGTTTTAAGCCACCAGGTCCGGGACTTGAACCGCAGTCGACTACGTAGGAGTCCAGTGACATAGCCATTACACTAACTGCTGGTTCCCAGCCTCTTATGCTTTCTTGCCGGATGCTTCCGGTGCAGGTTCTTTCTGGTCGGCAGCTTTCTGACCCTCCTGCACGTTTAGAGGCGGCACGGCTTTCTGGCCTGCGGCTTTCTGAGCAGGAGCCTCTTGGGCTGGGGCCTCCTGGGCTGGGGCCTCCTGGGCTGCGTCATTATCTCCTTCACTGGCACTTTAGCAGCAGCAGCAGCACCTGCACCCTTAGCAGCAGGTGCTTTTGGGAGAAGCTTTCAGAAGAGCTGCCCTTTGAAGCTTCTTAACTTCATTCTATTCCCTTCCTCATTTTCTTTGTCTTCATGACTTTAAAGTGATCACAATCTGCCATCTTGGCTTCCTCTCTCTGGCTCAATCTTCTCGGCCCATGTTGTGGCTGCCCATTCTGTGTTGGTACCTGCCTTCTGCTGGGCTTGTCGCACGTACTTCTGGCGTGCACTGCGTGGGAACCTGAGGGTGAAGTCAGTGAGCTGCATGCATTTGAAAGGCGTGGCCTGTCTCCTTACCTGAGTGCAAGGTCCGTCAACCAAAGCCCCGTTCTGATCAATAACATCTACAATTACAACCAGCTTTCAGGCATGAAGGCCAAAAGGGACGTAGGCCACCGGGCTGACCTCCACAAAGCGCCTGAACACCATATTGCTGGCGGCCTGTGAGAAGCTGTTTTTTGGTTTACGTTTTGCCAGAGGGCACATCTACTTGCCCGAGAGAGACAGAGTGGGAGAAGGCACCTCCACTGGGGCGTGGTCATGCCACAGCCGCTCCTCCTCCGTCTCTCCTCCCGTCGGAAGTTTGGGCACACATGCGCACGCACCCGCCATGTTTCCCAAGCTGAGTCCAGGGCTCAAACTGCAAGGTTGCCTATGAGGGATCCAGCTGCCATAACCATTAGGCCAAGGAGCCAGCTCAGATTCTAGATTTTTTCTAGACCAGAGCCAGCTGATAAAGTGGTTCTGAGGGAAGGAGTCAAAGGTAACCACAAGATTTTTTGCCTGAGCACCAGGAAGTTGCTTTCAGCAAGGTCGGGAAGGCTGTTG